ATCTGCTTTCTGTTAATTAAGTGGTGGAAACGCATCTCCCCTTCCCTAGAAATCTCTTCCACAATCAGATTCCTTGTCAACCTCTATCCTTTTGCAGTCCGTGTTATAATGATTGCTCTCCAGATGATTTCCGAAGGATAAGTACCCAGGACTTGCTATATCTTAGCTCCGAATCATATAGGTCTCCCAAAAGACTACTTTTGCATATTGCGTCCACCATATTTGTCTGTGAATAAAGAAAATGTTACTACCATCTTTTAAGAGATCCAGACACTATACACACAAACTTCATAATGATGATTTGAAATAGAACTGTATTCCAATTTCAAAGAGAAATAAGCTATGGGAGTTGGAAGAGAAGGTAGAATCAGTAAGAATGAAAAACATTGGAGTCACTTTTTTTTTTTTAACCCTACCTAAAACTAATGATATGACAAAAAAGAACCTCTATAGTTAAACAGGGACGGGGAGGGAAGTATTTGTCTATCCTTATTTGCAAATTGTCTGAACCCATCACCTAAGGTCTTTTGCCCCCAAATTCCAGAAAGGTGGGGTGAAAAAAAGAAAAGAGAAATGGCATTCAAATATTCTCCATTAAAACCAGATGAAAACTATTATTCATGATAGCAGTGACTACCTTCTTGCACCCCCATATAGCAGAAAACAGCTTTCCCCTCACACAGAACACCTCCCTCCACCAACTTACATAGCATCCAGCATTTGAAGACAAACTTATTTACGCTTTTTCTATGAGAAAAGGCTTTTATCTGAAGGGTAGACATCCATATAAACCCATGACAGCAGCATCTCTCCAGAAACATTTGTCAAGTAGAGTTCTACTAGAACTATGCTTAGATGTTCCAATATTGCATTAGCACAAGTACAGCTATTTTTCATAACCCAGAAGATTTGGGGTTTGTAACTTGTTAAGTATTAACAGATTACCTAGAATTAGTAACAGAATTTTGATCTGTAATTGAAGTTATAACATCAACCTGGAGCCATGAAACTTTGTAAACCACGTAACATTTACATCTATGTCACCGTATCTATGCTTGAAAACAGTATTAAGTAAGTTTACAGGTCCTGCCCTCAACAGCAACATCAAGAGTGCTGGGGTATTGCCCAATGATAACACACAATACAAAAGTGTACACTCTTATAAAAAAGGAATCTGGAGCAGGATTTCACTTTAAAAGCAGTACGAAGTCTGAAGCATTTTATTGCTCTGCCTGTGCAATAAAGTGATTAGAGTTCAACCACAATCATGGTCAGCTTACAGAGAACATACCAGCAGAGACAATTTCACAAACAATACTCCTAAACCTTTAGCAGAATTTTCAAGGGCTACCAAATTAATAATGAAAGGACAGTAAAAAAAAAAAAGTTACACTAGTAAAATTAAAGAAAAAAGTCTCGCCTCCCACCCCTCAATTCCTTCAGAACACCTAACCATTCAGCTTCTGAAGCTGTAGCAGTATCTTTGCCTTTACAGTTCTATCTAGATTTTTTTGGCGGGGGAAAAAAATGAATTAAAAAAAACATTTCCCCTGACAATAATCAGTGTGAGTCAGGAGAATAATAAAATAAAAATCAAAGATTAAAATATTCCCCATGCAGTGAAAATGCTACTTCAACTACAAATGTATCTTTGACATGCCGCTTCCTTTAGCAAAATATTCAAGACCACCTGAGTGGCTTGAGAATGATCTAGCACTGGAGGGGGAAGAGAGGACCAAGACTTTTCTGATGTGCTTCCTTTTGCGTAGGTGATTTTTAGAATGAACCAAGCTTAAGTGAGTTTTAACAAATATGGATCTTGTCACCTGTAAGAGACTTAAAGCTGCAGAACTACTTTGATGACAGACCATCCAGGCACCAAAGACAGAGGAGGCAGCTCAGAAGAGAAAAAATGATGGTTTAGGAGATACGGAGTGTAAGAGCACCAAAAGGAACCATGAGATGTTAAAAATTATAGCACCCACAACAGAAGATTTTGGTTAAAGACAATCCACTACTTCAACATCTCCCGCATTTTCAGCTGCATAAGGCATATATTCTGAAACATCACAGAAAACTATGAAAGTATACATTCTTTGTATAACTCAGCAATCATGAAAACTAGAGGACACAGAAACACACTTCCTTGGGAGAGAACATTAGATATTTTCTAAAGAGAAGCGTTCTTTGATGAACAAGCTATTTTATTTACTATTTTTCTTTTTTAAGCTCACCTACAAGAGAGGCACAGGAAGCATATTCAATTGTTCTAAGTATTTTATTACTACTTCAGGATCTTCTGTTCTTTATTAAATCAAAAATACACACAGGTTTATATAAAAAGTATATTAGCAGGCACATGGAGAACCTTGACCTGGGCACTTTGTTTTCATTCTCTTGAATTAGTACAAATGGGTGCAAACCTACACCCACTTTTACCCAAGCATCTACAAATATTTTAAAGCGTAATAACATAACACAGATGCTCTTTTTCAAATATCTTACTCAGTAAGGGGGAATATTTTCACTCCCTTAGCACAGATTATTAGATTTAATTCACCGGAAATTCCTACCCATTTGAAGTGCATTTACAGGATTTCATACAGCAGTTTATAGATAGTAAAATAAAACACCTTCAACCTAAAGACCACTTCCACACCTACCACATAAGAAAAAAATCCCACAACATTTTCACCTATTTAAAGACCACTAGTGTTAATTGGCTATGTAAACAACTGCAGAAAATAGTTGCATATAAAAATAAATTAACAAATACAGAAAACCAACACCCCCACTCCCCAACACACACACTCCGAGTAGCTGGAGACTGCATACTGGAGAAAGACAAACCAGACATCTTCACACCTGAACTCTAGGATTTCTTCAACCATTGCCAATATTCTTACATATAGAGCCCGGGCAGACTTTTTTCAGACTAAAGACTGGACAAGATGCAACTTCTGCTGATGATGATGTTAGAATCAATTGATCGGGTATGATTTTGAACTGAAACAAGTCACAGTTGAGAGAAGAAACCCTACTTATCAAAATGCCTGTACTTTGTGCTACAAGCTTACATAATCTTATCATTTTGATTGTAAAAACAAAAGCTTACTGTTGAATGTTTTTATTTTTAGACCTACACCAGGGCTACAGATACTCTAAAATTTTAGGTGAGTAGAAAATAGTTTAATAATTGTTAAATACCGGAACACTGAATGCGTAATACTGGAATAACCACCAAAACAATGTCATTAACATGAGAAGCAGTCCGAATTGCAGCCAGTTTCCTGCTCATTTAGCAAAGATTAATTCCATCTTCACAGGCAAGAGAAACATTCAGTTTACCTTACCAAGAACAACCCGAGTAAGAAATGATAAAAGAAAAGACGGCTTTTGTTGCTTAACCATTCTTTTTACTAAGTAGGATAGGTAATGTCAACAAGATCACTATTCTGTGCTCTAGGCAAAGAGATCTTAATAGAAGGACGTGGAAGGGAGAGACAGACATGAAGAACAGATGGCACCAAGTCTTTCAGAAACTGTCGGGGCCGGGGAGGGCAGAGGGAAAGTTTTCCTACAGAAAATATTCCCGAATTAAGAGGAATGTTGCTCGAGTAACTTCAAAGTAAGGTATTAGGAAAAGATGAAAGATGTCTCCTACTGCAAGACAAAACTGTGAGAAGAAATCGTGTTTTGTTTCAAGAGCGGAATAAATGGTATACCCTAACAAAAAAAACAACCCACACCAAAAAAACCCTCTGCCTGTCCTTAACCTGCTCTGTTAGTTATCTGGTTAAAACAGAAAGGATTTTTTTGGTGTATTTCTGGCAGCGCTCGCCATTTCACAGCACATTTAGCGCACACGGAATTGATCAATACCGCTACAGACATAAGACTAGACTATCCATTTACTAACCACAAGAAAATGCCCTGTTCAGCAAAATCCTGTACATTATAACACTGAAATTTTAAAAGGCATTGTTATACGGATCTCATTACTCCCTTACAGCGGTTACACTGAAAAGCTGAGCACTTGTCTGCTAGCTTTCAGACTGATAAACAAGCATACCTTTGCATGCTGTGCAAGAACGCTAAAAAGTGTATCTAAACCTACCCAGAGGACTATACACACATTCAAAGCGCGAGCAGAAAGTGCCAGGCTTGCCATGTAAGCAAATATTAGATCTCTTACACAGCTCAAAATAGGATTTTTTCGTGAAACTGATGGAGCTTCAAGCAGAAATGTACCAACAGCTCCACTAACCACTGGTTGCTACCATAACCATCTTCCTCCTAAAGAAGCGTGGGGAAGTCCTCACGCCCCGCTCGCTTCTCAGGACTCGGAGCTGGCATTTGAAACTCAACTTCTGCTGTTTTAAAGAGAAAAGCAGTAGCTTTCTTTGCACTACAAGGCAGTGACTTATTGAGTAGCAAAATACAAAGCGTTACAAGTTATTGTTTAGAAACTGAAAGTCTGCCTTTTCAGCCTAATTCTGTGTATACATCTATATATGCACCCACCCCTCGCCATCATTAAAGGACGACCTAATGCTTTCAGAGCAGTACCTATTCTAAGCTAATAAAGCATTAACGACGGTCGCCATTCACCAGTGAAGGGCCTGGAATAAGAGATCTAATTAAAGGTAAGAGTATTTTGGCCAGGTTATTCTTATTTAAAAAAAACACCACGAAACACTAATAACTGCATTGCTAGATTACTGTATGTGACACTAGGTGGTTATGTCTCCACATTTGTTCCACACAATTGATCTGAAATCCAAGCGCTGCACCCATTTGAAGCGCTCGTTATAAATTTTTCAGAATAACGATGAAAACAGCTTCTGCCTTTACAGTCACTGCCATCCCCAAACATTTGTCACCTGAAAAAAAGGAAGATTTCTCCTCCTTTATACTAATTGACAAAGTTACCTCAAGCTTTCAAGCGCTGACCCCAATGCCTTACATTTAAAGCGACGAACCCAAGAACATTCACTTACCTGAAGAACAAGAGATAAGAAAAACAGCGAACGCCAACTTAGTAGCAGCTCCCATTTTCCAATGCTGTTAAAACATTTAAGTGACTTTAAGCAGCCAGTTTCCTGGGTCCTGCAAGCTGGAAAAATCTCCCTTCTTGCTGAA